TTATGGGTGGTTATATCCCAAATCAAGAATTATTAATTTAATGATGTATCAATTTATCAATTTATCATTCAATTTGTATTTATGTTTGTTTATCTTGTAAATTGTTATTTGCTATTTTTACCCTGAAATCGAACCAGGATTTTAAGTAGTACAAGCCCGACCAGTAAAAAGAACACACACCATCATGTAGTGTTGCTAAGAAATCCCACTAAGCCTCTCGCAATTGGCTTTCTTTGAGCGAGTTTGTTTTACCTATGTGATCGTGGATTATAAACATTAATAAATCATCGGAATCATAGTGCTCATTAAACAACCAGATAGCAGAGAAGAGAGAGAAAGAGTTAGATGGATGGTTACAGATAGATCAGATACAACAGCTACAGTCCCCACCTTCAAACATATTTACATCACATCTACATCATTCCCCCTATCTCTTTTATTCCTCCCAATTTTACCACCAAACCAATCTAAAATCTTTTTATCTTTTGAAGCAGATGGACCGCAGATAAGAAGACTGGAAGCAGAAGAAGGATTAAGCTGAAACATTTGCCTACATTCATCCCACTATCGACACTATGTGATCGTAGATTATAAACATTAATAAATCATCAGAATCATAGTGCTCATTAAACAACCAGATAGCAGAGAAGAGAGAGAAAGAGTTAAATGGATGGTTATAGATAGATCAGATACAACAGCTACCACCCCCACCTTCAAACATATTTACATCACATCTACATAATTCCTCCTATCTCTTCTCTCTAATCTAATCTTTTTTGCTTTACCGGCAAATGTCAGGATCCCTTTGAATCTAAAAGTTTTATGGGTCTCACTTTAAATACTAAAAATAATGCAAGGATGTAATGCAAGGAAAGTTATTTCAGAAGTGTATCTTTTGTACTGCAGTGTACTGTCTCTGGGCGATAATGTAAACACAAGACTGATGTTACAGCCAGACATGGGATCCATATATCTTTCACATAAAAAAATCAATGAAATATTCTGGTCTTAGGAAACTATTATGTGAATTATCAAAATTATCACATTTAATGCTTTTAACCTCCTTGGAAACTAAACGAGTACTGATGCATCTATTCTTGTTAACAAATTCCGCCCAAAGAGAACTGGTTTCAAAATGCAGGCAGAGTATACACGACCGCAATTAACTTTCCTTGCATTACACCCTTGAAATAATGTAACTCCTTGTGTACTGTGTAGAGCAGGGCTCAAAAACTAGGATTTACTCAAGACTACTGGATGGAATCAGAAAACTGGTTTGGAAATACAACAAACATGACGTCAGACCAGGAATTTTTTTTACTTTCAAAGAAATTCTAAATTTTTCGGGTTGGCAAATTTGCAACCAAGTTCTCCTATCTCACTGCTCAATGATGTTACTGAGGCCCAGAATGATCAAAACAATTATCTAAATTTCCATTGCATTTATTTTAATAAAGCTAAACAACTCAAATACTCAATTTTTTATTTTGGGTAGATGATTTACAAATAGTGTATTGTCCACAATTGTAACCCAACCTATGCCAAATTAAGCTCAAAACTAACAATAATTAAGTTTTGTGAAATCTGACATGAAGAGTAGCAACTCTTTGGTACTGCAAGAAAACAAAGTTTTATTGAAGCTTAGGAATCAAGTTCATACAAAATCATCGAAACAGATGAGTTCTGGAAGAAAATAGTAGTATTTGTCATTCCCTCTGCTGGATCAGAGGCCACCAAAGAGACATTTATCATTTCATATTATTTCTACCAGGGGATCACAGATTCCACCGAAGGGATTTTAATAAATACTCAGGACACTAATTACTCCATCAAAGGGATGCTAAAAATCATCCTGGGCTCTAATTACTTTAACAGAGACAGAAAACTAATGCAGATAACCATTCAGGACACTAATTACTCCACTGGAGGGATGCTGCAAAACACCCTAGGCACTAATTACTTCACCTTAGGGATGCAGATAACCATTCAGGACATAAATTACTCCACTGGAGGGCTGCTGCAAATCACACTGGACACTAATTACTCCACCTATGGGAAGCTGTGAATAACACTGAGCACTAATTATACTTCACCCAAGGGATGCTCATAACCACAAAAGACACTAATTATTCCACCAGAGGGATGCTGATAACCACTGAAGACACTAATTATCCACCCAATGGATGATGCTGCAAAGCACCCTGGGCACTAATTTCTTGACCTTTGAGTGATGCTCATAACCACTAAGGAAACTGATTACTGCACTACAGGTAGACTGGAAATAACCTTGGGCAATAATTACTCTTCTCTAGCGCTGCTCAGTACACTACCCAACAAACAAAAACCCGTGAAGAACACAAGATTATTTGGTTTTTTTTCAAAGAATATTTTCGCGTTTTTTACCCGTGCTGTACACAGGAGGAATCTTCAAGATTGTGAAAAGTAGATTTACCACGAGTATAACATAAGTCGAGGGTACGTGAATTAATCACGTGAATTATCAACCAGTTCTCCATCATGCTAATCTCGTTAAAAACCTGTGTTTTGTTTGTTGGGTAATTATTACACTAGAGGGATGCTGCAAATCACCCTGAGCACTAATTACTCCACCAGAGGGATGCTGATAACTACTCAGAACACTAATTACTCCACTAGACTGATGCTGCAAATCATTCTGGGCACTAAGGAATAATGATAACACTAATTACCCCACAAAAGGGATGCTGAAAATCACCCTGGATACTACTCCATCGTAGCGATGCTGATACCTACTCAGGACACTAGTTACTCCACCCAAGAAATGCTGCAAATCACCCTGGGGACTAATAACTCCATCAAAGGGATGCTGATAACCCCTCAAAACACTAATTAATCCACTGGAGAGATGGTAATTAACAGTTAGGACACTAGAACTCCATCGGGATGGTAATTAGAACTTGGGACACTAATTACAGGGGTGGTTATAAATAATCAAAACACTAAGTACTCCACCCTACGGATGGGAATTAACTCTTTGAGAACACTAATTACTCCAACAGAAAGATGATAATTAACACTCAGGACACTAATTACTTCATTGGATGGATGGTAAATAACACTCTGGACACTAATTTCTCCACTGAAGTGTTAACTACCACACATATGATTCAGTAATTAGTGTCCTGACTGTTAATTACCATCCCTCTGATGGAATAATTAGTGTCCTGAGTGTTAATTTAATCCCTCGATGGAATCTGTATTCCCTTTGGTGGCCTCCAGTCCACCGGAGGGGATGAGAAATTTTACTATTTTCTTCCAGAACTCGGAACAGATTTTGTTGTAATTCACATAATGATTTCCAAAAGTATCCTAAAATGATCGAAATTCATTATAAAACTGGTCAATATATTTAATTCAATTAAAGAGTTTTGCATATTCTGCCCCAAGGCACATATTTGAGCAGTAAGATGGGGTTCTTAATGCAATCCTAAATTCATAAGATCAAATAGACAAACAATCCCTTTAAGAGATAAAAATATTTTATGTGTTTCTATTACTGTAGATTCTTGAAGAGATAGTTCTGAAGAGAAATGAAGTGTTCGCTGATAATGATGCAATCAGGAAACTGGAAATTATTTATTACTTTTTCTTTTTCAAGAAGAACCATCTTTCTGCAAAAAGTGCAATACCCAGCCCTTTAGCCAGCCTTAGACACAGCTTGAGGCTCCTAGCATGTCATAGCTACAGCACTTAGCCCACATATGATAATGGTTTAATACTAAATACTAAACACTTTGCAGTACTCTGCAAGATCCAATCTGCATTTCTTGAGATCAGACTTTCTTACTTTAACTTAGTATACGTCTGAATGGGTCTGGGGTTGCCTAACCACTGACTCGTCCCAGCTCTAGGTGTTCTAGATTATGACAACCCTGAAGACCCTGGAGTATAGCTGTGTTGCCCCTACAGAGGGAGAGAAGTTCTAGTTTGTTCTATACACAGAAACTGGTTATATAGAGTATAAGACTTGTAAACCATGCCTCACATTATTCTTTTTGCAGTTATGTTAGTTACCTAGATCATTAAGTCTAGATCTACGTTTGAGTAAAAAAAAGTACTTTTTTACCTATTGCTTGATTTAAGGGGGGGGGGAGCTTATTGCAAAGACTTTGTGAAGTTTTTAGTCCATTATTATAACTGGATTTAACTGCTTGTTGTATATATACCTATTCAAAAGTTTGTGACATATTTATTCATTTTTTATGCTTGTTTTAACTTATATACTCTTTTACTCATAAATTATTTATTGTGACTTATTTATCCATTTACTCGTATTTATTAAATAAATAAAGTGGTCAATCTTTCGGATTGAACAGTGCACCTCTAGCCTTTTATTCAAGTAATGAAGTCCTCAATTTTTAAAGCCTAGAGATGTTACGATCACTCTACGTGGATTATGACTAGGTAGAATACTTAGATTTATTATTATGATATTTTGATATTAGCAGCCAGAATTGGTCGCGAAACACTCGGTTAACACTAGCACCAAGGGTCGTAAATACATGGAAGGATAATCAGGGTTTTTGCAAGAACAAACAACTAACTTTTAGAATGTATACCAAATGGGTACATGCACTGTTTTAAATGTTTTTTTGACTAATTTAACCGGAAGGGAATAGACTTGTGCCATAACTTCAAAATAAAGGCAATGAATAGTTCTATTCTCTTTCAGGAAAAATAGATTTTATCTTGTAACAAAAGGTAGAGATGGTTCAGTTGACATGAACTGGAATTATAGGGCAACACTGTCATAATGAGAAAAAAAGAATTTAACATGAATTTCTAATGTTGAATCAGTATCATGACACTAGAAAAAGAGTATTGGAATTTTGATATACAGGGAAGATCTTCCATTTTTTATAAAACAAATATTGCAGTCACTTCTTATAATGTGAATAAAAATTGTTAAAACGCATTTCCCATAACTATCAATATTTTACATTATTCCTGTTTCCAGATTTAACAAATAAAACTAAAAAAGTTTTTCTAACTTGTCAAAATTGTATGATTTGCATTGGCATAAGTGAAAGATGTACTTCTGATTAGAAAGGGTATTACAGATCCGGAAGTCCTGATTCCAGGTAAAATCTCCGTCATGTTCATTTTTGAAGAAAGGAAATTGAAAAGTTTAAGTAATTGTCGCACAATCTCCTTAGATGCACATTCAACCCAACAGAATTGCTGGGTAGGTGGATTGTGTACATATAGAGAGTAGGCTAATGTAATAAAGAGAAATACAGGACTTTGCAGAGGGCTTTATAGTACATAGTCCTTAAAATGGACTACAAATGGACAAAAACATGCAAAGGTGGAAATGCCAGATTTGCAATGGTACCCTTGAAAGCTTTGTCTGATCAAGAATGAATTAGATATCAATGTTTTTTTTTCTTTAAACTGTTTATATATTCATTTGCGGTTTCTCAGCGAAAGTGACTTGCATATTAGAAGTAATGGAAAAAGATGGTTTCTTCCACATTAAGGGTTCACGGGTACTGTAAATTGAGCAATGCAATCTTTGCATAGATGGTCACTTGAAATTATGCTTACAGAATCCTTAACCCAACCCCCCTAGCTAAAATTCTTAATATGTACCTGTGTACTGTGAAGGTTCTACTACTACGAGAAGTTGGATAGTAACATCAGTTCTCCTGTGATCACAGAGAAGAATAAATATTCTGGCATCTGTTATAAGTTTCAGGTTCCAGATTTCCTCTGGGAGAAAGGAGTTTCAAGGTTTTATATAAAAACAAAGGTACGATCTGGTAAATAATATGCAAATTTCTAAAATCTTGCAACATAGGTCGAGATGTACATCGTTTTCGTGAACACACAAGATTTTTGTTCAGAAAAAAACGAATGATGGTCCAACAACTTAGATTGTACAATGATATGAAAATTGATTGTTTTGTAAAACAAATGAAAAAATCAAAAAATTAACGATTTAAAAATCGTTCAGACGAACTTGAAAAGCTATTGTTTTTTTACTGAACTAAAGAATGTTCCAAAAGATGTTGAGAATATAACCGTTTTTTAATGAGCTAATGGTTTTTTCGAACAAAATTTTTGAAAAACGATCTTGTTTTAACTGAACCAACAATTTTAATAAACAAGCCATTTCTGAGAAAACAAACAAAATAAATAGAAAATTATCGATAATTTGAGAACAAAAGAAGTCAATTTTTTACGAGTAAGTAAAAAAAGTGGGTTGTTCAAGAACAATCAACAAACAAAGAAAAAAGCCAAACACGCACATCTCTAAACATAGGATATTGCAATCATCCCAAAAAATGTCCTGCATTTTTCCCCTTTTATAGGTCAACACACTTATTGGCTTTAGTCATTATGGCCAAAGGAGTGGAATTGACAATCAGGATAAGGTAAAATTATCATAAAATCGATCCAATTTTCTTTTCTTTCTTGAATGATTATTTCATGTAAATATAGTGGAGAAAAATTGGCGGACATGACATTTAAAAACATCAAATCGTTAAAATCATTTTAAAAAAGCTGAACACTGAGTTTGATAGGTAATAATGAAACTCTAAATCAGGGGCAGTTAATTGTAAACATAAATTCAAGTGACTCACTTTTTAACGAGTGACTTAGACAATTTATGTCAGTATAACTCTTTAAGTCTCAATCTGAGTAACATGTTGAATGCTGACTAAAAATTGTCTTAGTTGTGTGTGCTTGACCTAATTAACAAGTGACCTAAACAATTTTTTAATTTCATTTTCAAATAATTAGTTTCCTTCAGAATGTGCTAAATTCTTTTGATTATAAGTATAAAAATAGGCTATTATCTAATACCTCTTTATTTTTCAGATGCAATGACCAATGGCTTCATGATTATACTGTGGCACAGTACGGATGTATTAGGTAAAAAAACAAAGAAAAGGGTTTCCCTGGACAAAATCTTCAGGAAAGTTTGACCATATTTTTTTTAAAACATGGCTTTATCAATAATAAAAAAATATTTTTATATGTTAGTTATCAATAAACCAGCCTCTGAGAAAATGCACAATCATTGGTATACATACATGCCATAAGTTATCTCCTGATATCCATAACAACAGAGACACTGACAAAAATATTTGCACTACCATTGCGATTTTTTGTTGTGACATGTACAGATCAAGGTTTTCGCTATTATTTCACATATTACGAATTGATTTTAAAACTTATTTTGTTTTTAACCTGACCAAGCCCCCCCCCCCTAACTAAACGATTTCATCTAAACATGAAATGATACTCTCGAACTACTCCGAGTGTAAGATATATATAGTCCATGGAACAATATTCGCACGGACTACTCTGTGTGTAAGATACATATTTAGTTCATGGAAAATGTTCCCTGGAACTACTCTGTGTGTAAGATATATATTTAGTCCATGGAACAATATTCCCTGGAACTACTCTGTGTGTAAGATATATATTTAGTCCATGGAACAATGTTCCAACGAACTACTCTGTGTGTAAGATATATATTTAGTCCATGGAACAATATTCACACGAACTACTCTTTGTATAAGATATATATTTAGTCCATGGAACAATGTTCTCTCGAACTACTCTGTGTGTAAGATATATATTTAGTCCACGGAACAATATTCCCACGAACTACTCTGTGTGTAAGAAATGTATTAGTTCATGGAACAATATTCCCAGGAACTACTCTGTGTGTAAGAAATGTATTAGTTCATGGAACAATATTCCCATGAACTACTCTGTGTGTAAGATATATATTTAGTCCATGGAACAATATTCCAACAAACTTCTCTGTGTATAAGATTTATATTCAGTCCATGGAACAATATTATCTCGAACTACTCTGTGTGTAAGATATATATTTAGTCCATGGAACACTATTCCCACGAACTATAACTCTGTGTGTAAGATATATATTTAGTCCATGGAACAATATTCTCTCGAACTACTCTGTGTATAAGATATATTTAGTCCATGGAACAATATTTCGACGAACTACTCTGTGTGTCAGAAATATATTTAGTCCATGGAACAATATTCTCTCGAACTACTCTGTGTGTCAGATATATATTTAGTCCATGGAACAATATTCCCACGAACTTCTCTTTGTATAAGATATATATTTAGTCCATGGAACAATGTTCTCTCGAAGTACTCTGTGTGTAAGATATATATTTAGTCCATGGAACAATATTCCCACGAACTACTCTGTGTGTAAGATATATATTTAGTCCATGGAACAATATTCTCTCGAACTACTCTGTGTATAAGATATATATTTAGTCCATGGAACAATATTCCCACGAACTACTCTGTGTGTAAGAAATCTATTTAGTCCATGGAACAATATTCCCACGAACTACTCTGTGTGTAAGAATAAGACCAGTACCAGTGGAGTAGATCAATTAGTTCTCAACTGGAAACATGGATTCAATGGTGAGTAAAACTCGATTCATTCTATATGTATCTTTCCGCTTTTTATCTAAGCCTGATTTTTATTAATTTTATTTTTGTGTTAACATGATGATTGTTTCAGTCTTCAAAGTAACAATTCTAATCGCATTATTTAATCAAATGATGTGGCCATTAGTTGGTAATTTCAAGTTAACCTTTATTGATAGAGTGGCATGTCAGATTCACAATTGAACCCTCAATTACAATGACACTTCCTTTTATGAGAAAATTCCTATGTTAATTGCAAAAGTGATTGTTCTCTGATATCAGTGTCCAGGATTGATAAATATTAAAAATTAAAATATGAAAAAATCAGGTATTTTAACCTTTTAACCCCACTGTTTCTGTTTAAACATTTTGGCAACAACATTTGACAGCTGTATAAACTTCTAGCTTTGGAGCCCAGGTTGCACAGGGTAGTCATGGTTAGTCCCGCCGTTTACCCGCGCTTAGTTGTAATTTACGATTTTAGCTATTTTTCCAATACAAGTTGACCCACTCAAGTTAGAATCTTAAAACCAAATTAAGAACATTCCTGAATGTTCTCCCGAGTTCCCCGATCAAAATTTGAGAAACATCGGTCCAGGGGTTCTCAAGTTATGATCGGACAAACAAACAAATAGACACTCAAACAGAGATTATAACTTTATATAAACTACTATAGCTTAAATGCCCGGGGTTGCCTTGGAATTTTTAAATCAAATTTTGAAAATAAAAAATTTATTTTTGGAGAAAAAAAGCATTTAGATTTTTGGAAAAAAAACATTCTAATTATATAAGAAAACGTTTTTTAATTTTTTAGCTTATGTTACTACCGCAGTACTCTAGGGTTTTCAAAAAATGTCAGGCCATGCAGTCCAGCCGTTTGGCGGGCTATAGCTAACATACAAACAAATATATATGAGCGAAGAGCTTTATTAAATAGATAAGACTGTCAGTGTAATGGGAACAAAATCAATGATGCACAATAGTACATTAAACACTCTTTACAGAAAAGAAGGGGAAACTAATTGGTACAGCATGCTTATATTTTTTTTCATCTGAAATGCTTTTTTGTTAAACAATCTATTAAATGTTTATTTGCTGATATCACTTCATTAGCTGAAGATGTTCATGTTAAAGATAGTACATGTGGATCACCTTGTGAGAGCTCTGAGGTTATGTTTGCCTCTCAGTTCTCCTACAGGGAGGAGGGGATGGGGTATGGTTACCTAGCTGTTCAACTCAAACAATCAGTTAAGGTAATTTTCTAAAGTTCACGTTCTCCATTGAAACTAGAGTTTCCAATTGGAATTCTGTTGAGCGGAATTGCGCACAACCATTTGGAATTGCGTGCAATTTTTCTCTTATTGAGCGAAATAGTGCGGAATTGCGCAGAATTGTGAGGAAATTACAGTAAAATACACTTGCGTTGAAAACCATAATTGAAACTAAACATTTAATTCTCTATGTTATTACTAAAAAAGCTGTAGCTCTATACTAGTTCATAATATTACATTAGTTCAAACTGAAATTCAATACTATCTATTTTTTATATGCTACATTATAATTTTCATGTATCTAACACTCGTACATTTACCATAAAATGTTGATGTTATTTCTTCCTAAAACATTAACGTTTAATGTTCACATTATATGGAATGTATCCAAATGTTTTCTATTATTGTAATGTAACCAATATTAATGTGCATTTAATGTAAGGTTATACCAGGAAGGTTGGTAGTTAACTATCTGCCCTGCTATGTAGCGTAAGTGTCAGAAGCGCAACTAGGGGGGGCAGGGGGCCAGGCCCCCCCTAGCCTGATTAAGGGGGGGGCATGCCCCTCACTTAAGAAGTCTTGCAAGAAATGACGAAGTCCACCCTGTTTTGCAATTTAGCGATTCATGAATCCTGACCCTTAGCAAATTTATGAGCTCTTATCGTAAAATAAAAAAATATAATTGAACATTAGTTTATTGAGCTTATAGTTCAATCCATATAGCACTTAATACACCATATACACACATACAGACCCCCTTCGTCTCCGAGCCTAACTAGTAACTACTGCCGTAGCCAGAACAGTTTGACAAAGTTCCAATGTGCCTTAATCTTTTTTTTTTTATTATGCTGTTTTTTCCTGGGAAAGGGAAAGGGGGTTTATCAAGTATTTTTTAGATATTTTCACTATCAGTTCTGCCACTTATTATGATATTGCTTTAATATGATATTGCTTTAATACTGTAGTACAACTATTCAATTAATCCTACATGTTCACCGCAAATATTGTGTGATGTGTGTCATATTAAAAAAAATATTTTTCATGTAAAATCATGAATTTTTAATAAAAGGCATTTCCTGTCAGTTTTTGAGTACAATGCATATTTGATTTATGGATAACTAATGAAAATTTATATATATGTATGTAATTTGTATTGAAAATTAATTATTTTTGTGATTTATACCAGAATCAGGGGCGGATAAAGGATGGGGGGGCCAAAAAAATTTGCGCGCTTCGCGCGAAATATTTCCCCCTAGCCCCCCTCTAACCAAATGTCTAGTTGCGCGCCTGGTAAGTGTACAGTTAGAATGGTTTACTGATAAATGATGTTAGGAGATCATGGCCTAATCATAAAGTACACACACATGAAATATGCATCATCATCACTCTTTTGAACGGAACTAATCACTCTGTATACTATAACCTTGTTTAACGTTACACTATCGTTGACATCTCTAATACATGTGATAATGCAGGTGACAACATCTAGTATACCCTACGGGTTTCTAGAGATGCTGGCTGAGGTCGGAGGATATGTTGGCTTATTCCTTGGGGTCTCCATTCAACAACTTGTAGCCATGCCAGAAAGTTTTATTATCAAATTATACAAAATACTGTTCTAAATGCATCATCATCTGTAGTAAATCCCTGTTTTCCTAAATCCTTGATTTCAGACAATATCAACGTTAAAAATAGATATCCGTTGGAATTGTTATTCTTTCCCATAGATCTAACCTCTTGCACCTGACAATTGTAGA